GTCTAAACTGTGAAGCAGCATTATATATGCATCATGTGCATGATTTTTCCATATATGGCATTAGTGGAAATATGCTTATAAAGACTTTTTGGTATACGCTTTTCTGTGTAAAAATCCAACGCACCTGGTGCGTGCGTGTGTTTAGGTTAGTAAATCACCCCCTATGTGTGAAAACTCTCCAGAAAAAAAAAGGTTTGCCACTGCTGACTTTCTAAACAGCTACCGTGTTTCCCCGAAAATAAGACAGTGTCTTATTTTTTTTTTTGCACGAAATAAGACACTAGGTCTTACAGGAGTTCTGACTTCAATTTCTCTAGGCTAGAGACTCAAAATACTGAAGCCACTGGATTCCAACCATAGCCAGACACATTATTATTATTATACAGGATCTTTATAGCGCCAACAGTGCACTTTCACAAGCATAGGAGGACAAAAGTGGCAACCTATAAATGTCCTCTTTATCTCCTACAGCACAAGAACACTTTACAATGTAATTTATTTCAGGCATGGACATTTCCAGTGAGTACACGTAGACCAGTACAAAGCTGATAAAGATTCTAACCTCCCCCACTGTTCCAAAGTGTTTTTATAGCTATTATGTCCTGTGTTGTCAGCGACATAGGAAGTGAGTGAAAAGGGTTACCGCCAATCCATCTAATATCGTTAAGTCATTTCAGGATCACTTGGCCTCTGTATACTCTACTTCCTCCCCATTTGACCCTGCTGCCGCTGACCACCTCTTTAGAGATCTCCACTTTCCAGCCTTCCACTTTCCGCGACTCTTTCCACCACTGCTCTTTCCTGTCTAATCTCCTCCACTTTTCTTCTCTCGTTTCCCCCTCCACTGGCTACCTCTACAGAAGCAAATATGGTTTTGTCGCCCCTGTAGTCCTATTTGACCAGTTCTACTGTAAACTGCATATCTCCCTCTCCTTGTCCCCTTCCCCCATACCTTCATATGATGTTATTTGCCGCCTACCACCTAGGCGACACACCGTTTCTTTTTATGATTTGCTACTACTTGTGTATTTTACCTTGAAAAATAAAACATGTTGAAATGGAAGTGAAGGAAAAATTCCCATATGAATACAGCGATACAAACCTGAGAGAGGATACAACTTTTCCCCATTGTAATCAAACTGTAATACAATATACTGTAATATAATATTTTGACTGGACTCCATCTTAAAAAGACGGGCATGCTGAACTACCTGTCATTTAGTCCTAATTTAGTGTGTGTTTCTTCATAAGATATACCTGCACACAGCTCGGCATATTTATATATTTGTTTATTTATGTATTATACCTGTGATTTGAGTGCCTAGTAGCTTCCATTGAACATTTACTGGCGCAGATCACTTATTATTTATATACCTATACATACAATACAAACTACCCATTTTGAACCCATGCTACTATTTTAGATCTGTGTGCATAGAATAATCCTGTTTAAATTAAGTCTAGTTTAAACATGTTCAGGTCTTACATGCTGATACTTTTACAGATAAATGATATAAGAAATTGTATATTGTTATGATTATTCTAGAGCACAAATATACTTTTAGAAATAGAACTAATAATACAATATGAAGCCGTACTTGAGCAGTACTTGGCTGTCAACATCCGAACTGTAAATGGTTGAGTAAAGTGTGGAAGTTCCTTTCTTGTACCACTAGATGGCAGACACATGCTTTAACTAATGAGTGATGCAAATAATGATGGGTACAGGACAGGTGCAGCAAGTAGCAGATTACAGAATATCAAACAATAAGTTAATATACTGTAGATCTGAAAGGTGGCCATATAGCTTTTGTGCTAAAAATGTGTTTTTAAAGTAAACTCAGATGTTAGCCAATTTCTAATATCCCTTAATACGGCTGCATGGTTTACCAACCTGATCTAAATGCAAAATTCATGCCATTCAACCATCTGTTTTATTTTGTATTGAGTGACATCATTGTTTATACATCACATCAACTAAGACTGTATGTTACTAATAAAAATGTACTCTAGATCAGTGGTCCCCAACCCCCGGTCCGCGGACCGGTACCGGTCCGCGGCGATAAAAAGGTTGGGGAGCACTGCTCTAGATAGCCTATATACATGATTCAATGTTTCACAAATTAATTATATGCAAGAGATCCTGGAGCTCGAGTCCAACCCTACTCAAACGTATTTAAGAACAGTACAAAATGTATAATTTTGCTGCAGCCTGAACCAACCAATTAGAATCAGTTTTCAAAAAAGGTTATCCCCTATGAATAGAAATCCCTAATAAATATCAAATAAATATATCGTATATCAAAATTTAATGAAGAACAATTACACGTGAACACACCTATAACAAAACATCTAAAAACAATTAAAATAGCTTCCCTAGAATCACCTTATTATAATGATACGGGTGTATGATCTATAGATCTCCTAAGGGGCCGGAAGTCTCTGATGTGGATACAAAAGTAATGTATCAAAAAATTGGAACAGAGTATCGGAGCTGTACTCACATTGCGTGTCGATCGAGAGGGGGGCAGTCCTGATTAAATTCCGCAGCCATACATGCATGTAGTTATTTCAGAGGGCTGTATCCGTTTATGGCAATTTAATCAGTACTAATCAGTTCTCATTAGTGAACTATTTAAACACACCTATGCAGGACACCACACACACGCCCCTCTGAAGAAGCACCGGCTATCAGGGGGAAACGCGTCAGGGTAGTGTGTGTTTTCAGCTTCCCAGAAACACCCACCATTGACATTTCAAACATGCGGGTGACTAGGAAATATCTCCGCAGATTCCGAGTCTAAGTAACGGAGCGAACCCGATTGTGGACACTGCTTGAAGCACAGCAGCAGTAGAATCTGTTTGAATTGCAGCTGAGACCGGAGGACAGGAGCGACCCTCTGTCAGTGTGAATGCACACAGCGCTCCATTGTTGCCGTGTTATCGGACACACCGCTGTGGGGACTCCACTACATTTACCTTTGAGTGCGGCCGCACTTGTGGAAACATCATTTGAAACTTTTCCTTTGATTTGATTTGGAATCGAATACCACAGACTGGTGTGAATCCTAACAGGCTGGGGGTAAGACATCTACAGAGTCTCTGATCCGCAAAGGAAACAGGTCCTTTGGAATTAAATTGCCATAAACGGATACAGCCCTCTGAAATAACTACATGCATGTATGGCTGCGGAATTTAATCAGGACTGCCCCCCTCTCGATCGACACGCAATGTGAGTACAGCTCCGATACTCTGTTCCAATTTTTTGATACATTACTTTTGTATCCACATCAGAGACTTCCGGCCCCTTAGGAGATCTATAGATCATACACCCGTATCATTATAATAAGGTGATTCTAGGGAAGCTATTTTAATTGTTTTTAGATGTTTTGTTATAGGTGTGTTCACGTGTAATTGTTCTTCATTAAATTTTGGTATACGATATATTTATTTGATATTTATTAGACCATCGCCATTTCAGGGATTTCTATTCATAGGGGATAACCATTTTTTGAACAGTCAATTGAAACCCTGGAATTTGGTGATTAATTTTGTTTCACACCGCGTAAAACTCCTGTTGTTCCCCTTTTTTCTTAGAATCAGTTTTCATTCATTTAGAGTGACTAACGAAAAGCTTAACTGTGGCAGATCACTATGGGCATCCAACTACTTCACATTACCAAATAATGCCTTAGTTAGGAAATAGTCCTCAATTTTGAAGTCTTCTGCTTCGTGTACACACATTATATTAACCATATATATGTTAGCTATTGATAGCTATTGGGTTCTCATTAAGAACTTCATAAATCATTGTAAGCAAAGCTACCTACTAATACACAGTGTCATGGTCTTAACCCATCTACTCTATTCCAAAAGCTATCAGCTGTAATCAGGGCCATATATAAACCTAAGCATTGTAGACGAGTGGCTTGGGATGCTAGTGTATGGTTACCACAAAGCACACATGACTACATGTAGAGGTAAATGGCTGCTGTATGCCCTATGCTGACACAGACAGAAAGTCGGCTATAAGCATGTCCCCTCTGCTCAAAATGAAGTTGGAGAAGCTGAAAGAAGATGCTGAAGCTTCCGAAGATACACAGTGGGGCTGTGCCTGCTAGGGAGAGGGGTCGGGACTGGTTGGAGGTTGTAATAATAAATGTAAAATGTGCTGCTGGTAGGGGGTATATACTGTTGACTGGGGGCTGTATACAGTTGGATGGAGCTATACAGTATATTGTTGGATGTGGTGGTTACTTCCTGCTGACTGAGGGGTATATAATCGTGGTTAGAGAATGATATACTGTTGGATAGGAATATTATATTGCTGGCTAATTACTATATATGACATCACTTAGGGGTTCATTTATGAGCCGGGCAGCTGCTGGTTACATAGCACTAGTGCCCCTACATGAAGCTGATGAGTATAAGAACTTCCTATGCTAAATTCCTATGCTTAGCGCCATCTAGGGGTGCTAGTAGCGTGCAAACAGCATCTGCCCAACTGTACGCCAGGTGGAACTTTTATAAGTAAACCCCCTAAAGTCATATTGATGATAAAGTGGTACAACAGGGTACACAGTAAAGCGGCTCCTGTGTTACTGTATATTGTAACATGGCACCTCAGTAACACAGTATCTGGCAATATGGCACCTGTGTAACAGGGCACATTTATAACATGATATATGACAGCATGGTACCTCTGTAATAAAATCACTAGCACTGTTGTATGTTGGGTAACACTGCTCAAAAAGTAACATAGCTCTGATTACGGCTATTTTTCTCATATATTTTTTACATAACAGCAGCGATGTTTACAGTGTGGCTAATAGTTGGGGACAAAGGTTCTTTGGCTACAGGTTCCTGATCTGTAAATCTGGCCCTATTTGTAGCATGCATCTAAAAACAGAATCATCCCACTACTGGAATCAGCAAATACATCAATGTGATCAGGGAAGGCAACGCATCAAAGTAGCACCATATTTAAATGTTTGTCTTACCTGTTCCGTTTTTTCCTGTGCTCCCGGTTACAATTTTCAGACTCACTGCCACTGCTAGTGTTGCACCGTGACCGTGATCTGCATTATAAATGAAAAAATATATATTACATGACACAACTGTGGAGATGTTCATATCAATGAGATATACCGCCTTTTATTTTTATAGTTTAGACCAGAATTTTTCATCCAGTTTTTGTACTTCAGCAACAATATTTTCTTAGTTAATAGTAATAAATTGTAATAGATTGTTATTTTTTTAAAAAGGCACTAATATTATCAATTTATAGAACACCACAATCCAAATTCAAAAAGATAGTAACACTAATGTGCAATGTCAGATATGTACTTTTAATGCCCTGTTAACCTCTTGAACTAATGTGATGCACATTAACATACTGGGTGCATGTACATAGTATCACATGTTTATCTTGCCAGGTGATTTTACGCAAAATATAGGCAAGCAGCAGCTTAGTACAACATCTTTTTCCCTAAAAGACATAATGTGCAATGTTTTCAAATTGGAATTGCCCTATTCTAGTCACATGCAGAGTAACGCACCCTACAAAGGTACAGTATATTAGGATCAATATACAAAATGGCAGTGATATTTTCATTACTGCACATTATTTGCTAATTGTACAATCCAAAATTATGTTTCAATTAAGTAAATGTTTAATCATGTGGCAATGATTGCTCCTGAAAGTACAGCTATATTTGGTCTCCTCTCCACAGGACGTGCGTGAACAAGAACCTTCGTGGTAGGATCACCAGGTATCTCATTACTAAAACATGCAGATTAAAAAAAAGATTTAAAACAACTTTTTAAAAGACAGTAAAATGGTAAAGCTTACACAAGACTTTAGTAATTGGGACCCTGCAAGGTGGTAAATGTTGACAGAATGGATCATAGAGCTCAAATAAAAATTAATGACAATTCTGATTTTAGGGCAGTTTATGAATGAATACATTAGTAGTTCACTTGGTGCCTGGCACTTCTCTAAAACATTGTAACCTGTTGACCTAATCACATGTTATAGGTCCATTTTTTTAATAACGTGTTTCTATAGTTCAGGTGAGATTTAAGTTACTAAATTATTATAATTAGATGAACAACATGTAAAATGCATTTAAAGAAAAAAAAACAATTTATAATAAACAGTAAAATCAGTGTAGTTAGACTGGACTAAAAAACGGATTAGGATGATACTTAAAAGACCTCGACCAATGAGATTTCCTGACAATGCTGGAATACCTATTTAGAATCAGAATTCTCCTTGTATTGCACTGCAGGCTGGAGATTGCTAACAAGGTGCAGACAAAGAACCCAAGGGCAGGACCATGACACAATTACTGCTAAATTGATAAGGGGCTTTATCTTACAAAGGCATTATGTCTAGAATTCATTATCAACTTTATATATAAAGAAAACGTCCTCGGCATATAACAATACTCACTCATATTCACTATACAAAATACATGGACACAAGCACCAGTGATATCTGAGAACCATTTCCCTGCAATCTACCACACATTTACCAGTTACAGCAACATGTCATATCGCAGGCTTAAACATTATGCATCAGAGTTACGCATGAGTCACCAAAGCATGTGTAATTTCCTCATGTGGAAATCAAATCCTGAAAAGATGGTATATTGTATTGTCAGGGTCCATTGGGAGACACACATTCTTTATTGTATACTTTTTTTCCTCATTCAGTATTTATTGGAAATTTTTGTTTAAATGTAAAAATACCATGAGTTCTAGCCAACATACAATTATGATACAAAACAACTTACAACTTTAGAACAGGCAATAACCAGCTAGTCGTTTCTTATGGTTCTCTCTAGATGGGTGTTGTAAACTTGTATTAAGTTTCTAACAATATCCTATTTACTGCAATGGTATTATAAGCAGATCTAGACATAGGTGTATATTTACAAAGCAGTGAATCTCACATTCACTAAACATTCAATGCAGGTGAACCTTCCTGGGGCATGTGTTTTAAATTACAATAAATGATTCACCACCAGTGAAAGTCATCATCACCACTTTATAAATATGCCCAAGACTGAAATAGATTGGAACCAATTAAACCACTTGTATTGTGTAGGTAACAAAAGAAGAGCAGCAAAAAGAGGGTAGCACTCCTACTGGCTGAAGGGCAGAGTGAACTTTATCTAAAAGAAAAACAAAGAACTTGAAGAGTGCCCCCTTAAGTCAGCTCTAAAAACTAATATTGCTCCCTATTTCTGTAATTCTAGGCCATTCATGCATTACATATTTAGTAGAATGTTTGAACACTATCTTCACTGCCTGATGTAAAATAGGATTTTGCTACTCAATATACAATCCTTTTCTTGGAGTCCGTTGGGAGACACAGGATGTCATTAATTGTTGAGTTATACCACTGTCTACATGGGGATTGGACACTTGAAAACAAAAAATTGTAAGCCAGCCCATAGGAGAGGAATACTCCTCTCCTACAACTAGCATGTATTTTGTAGCAAGCAGTTCCAAGACCATGATCATAAACACAGAGGTTTGGAACCTGTGTCCCTCAGTGGACTACAACAAAAGGATTTCTGGTGTAAGTACAAAAATCCTATTTCCCTTCTGATCCATTGAGGGACAAGGAGATAAACTGTTGGGATGTCCAAAAGCAGTCCAACCCAGGATTGGCAACAGCAATAAATTGTTAACAGGCCCAAGATGAACAAAAACAGGCGGCTGCCCACAGCTCAAAGCCGCCCAAGGATTCATGCACGAAGATAACCCCAGATGCAGCTGAACCCCACCACCTGATGAGGTAAAGAACAAACCTTACCAGGAGACTATGGGGAACTACACCTGATGCCCAAGGACCAAGAGCAGGTAAATGTACCAGAGAGGGGAGTCTTAACATGGAAGCGAGTCACCAACCAGAGACCAAAGTGTGAAGCAAATCAACTTATCCAAGCAAAAGATTGTAATGAACAGTGAGTTGGACATGAAAGGCTGGCCACTGTAACCATAGACAACAAGGAGAAAGAGAACACCTCTGGTAGGAACTGGAGCCCAACATAAAACTGTCAGAATAAAGAGCTAGCCAAAGAATGACAAAAACAATTTTAAAAAAGAAAAAGGCCCTAAACTTTAACTCACCTTGTCCCAGGATTCTGGAACCAGAACTCTATGTCTATGAAGTCCATGAAGTCAGCCTGACCAATTAGACGAAAAGCTTTGCAAGGGTAGGGAGGGAGGGAGTGTCAGGTAGACCTCTTTTTCTTAGGTGGAAGAAGAGAACAACCTGGCAGAGTTGAAGACTCAATCAGCACACTAATCAGGAAGGAGCCACTCCAGGCTAAGGAAACAAAATTTGCTGCAGCACTGCCTTAGACTGAAAGAGTCACAGGTCTGAAGCTGCTTCTGGCTCTCCATAATGTATCTGGACGGTAAAGAACAATTGCCTGAGATTAATCAATGTAAGAAAGATCACCAGGGAGGTCAACCTCTTGAGTCTGAGGGGCAGACAAGTAGGAAGTACCCAGATCCAGGAGTGAAGATCCAACAGAGTCAATTAACCATTCCCTCCCACTGCCAGAGGGTTCTTGCACCAGGAAACTATATTGTTTAGCAGACAGACAGCTCAAGTATCATGGAGCCTCTCTCCGATGTCCTCCTCGAGCAACACAGGATTAGAAACGCACTCAGGTGCCTGGACTACTTCTCCATATACAAAAGTAGACAGCTGGATAAACTGATTTTCCAAAGACCACATTTGATAAGAACAGAGTGGTAAACACTGGAACACAGGGTTGTGTCCGAGTCATAGTTAAAACTACCTTCCTTGCCACAGCAAGATCCACTGTTCCTCCTAGATGGTAGAGGCACAGTGGCCCTGTATTAATGCCCAATAGTATCAGTATCCAGAGGCCTGTCCAGGGAATGATCCCATAGGATATGGGGAACTAGCTGTTCTGGAGCTCCAGAGTTTTGATGAAGAGAATAAGTTTTTTCAACCTGAACTTCCAAAAAGGTGGAAATGAATTTTCACACCAGCCACAGATGACTGGATTACAAGATTTAGGAACTAGATTCTCCTACTGCAGAACCAAGCTGATATAAACAGCCTGCAGTCAATGGAAGGTAGCGTGCATTCTTTCCTGATAAAACAAGATCTGGCCGGACCTTTGGAGATTTGGACTGTCAGGAAGATGTTAACTACTAGAGCCCACATTGACTGTGAAATCCACAGAAGGTCGTCTGAGTGTCCCACAATGTGAATACACGAAAAAAGCACTGGGAAAAACATTGAGACCAGCACTCTGGAAAATTCAAGAACCAGGTTGGCAAGACCTGGACGTGGTTACTCCAGGAGTAGGTGAAGATAAGAAAGGGAACTTAGCTAACCTTTAACCAGATTTCTTGCGCTGAGGCAGGTGGACACTGGCCTCCACTGATATCCCTCATAATAAAGTCAAGTGTAGGTCTGAAGAAACGTTGTCCCTTGAAGACAAGGCAGGTTAGGCGTTTATGGATGTAATGTCCAAATGACAGCACTTTTGCCAGAGTGCTCTCTCATTTGTATGGAAAACAGAGCCATGTAGGAGACAACCTGACATGCTTCCAGAAAGCCATCACAACTAAAGCACAATGCCGCAGACATCTGCTCCACATGTTCGATCAGGAAGGGATCCACGGATGTGGTGGGGATATCCTTTTTGAGGAATAAACACTTTCTGCACAGTTTAATTCATTAAAGTCACAATACAGAATGTTGGTCTGAATAATCCTTGAATGTGAGGACACCCTGCACTGGCATAGTGGTTTGCTTTTTAAATTGAGTCAATAGCAGATAAACAGTGGATAAAGACCACTGCTCAGCTAAAGAGAACAAGTCCAGTAGATGCTCAGGTGGTGTCCAGGACCTAATTGGGTGCTTTCAATCACCATAGCAGAATAGGTCTTTACATCTTTAGGAGCGCTGAAAGACCCAAAAAGAGAAGTGATTGTCGAAGAAGCCCTGATTGATAAGGATCCTGGTACTCTTCAGTAATGTCAATAGCTCTTGACCTAGAAATTGCTCCGTGGCAACTTAACAGACTGGAGTCTGGAAGGCACCTTACGTGGAGCCCAGTGCCATGGGGCACTTCCAAGCTAGTCCCTCAATGTACAGTCTAAAGGCCAATCTGGATGGCTGCCATTGTAGAAACCAACTCCAGCAGCGATGTAGCAATGAATCTTGGTTTAAGAAAAAAACAGAAACAATGAAGAAAAATTGCAAACAACAAAATGGTTGAACCTTTCCCAAGAAGGGTAAAAAAAAAGAGGTCTATCCTTCTAGGACACTACCAGAAAAACTGAGACATGCTTGTTGTGGGAGGGTTTATCCTGGGCTAGATTATGATTGTTTGTTTACCAGTGTTCAATTCTTCTGTAGGTGGCAGTATAACCTGACAGTTAATGTGTCACTCAAAGGATCCCATGAAAGTTTCAGCCATTTCTTCAAACTGCATACGTGTGCTGAATTCACAAAACATGGGCTTCCAGTTTGAATGTTCTACGCTTCAAATGTGTGTGTTTCTTGTTTCCAGCCTGCACACTGGGCCCTTGGCACTGAGTTTGTGTTTTCTGAAAACAGGGGGAAAAATGCTGCAGGCTGGATATTATAGACTGCACCCAACAGAATCTGTACCCCACAATATCATCATACAAACTTTTCCAGGTTGTTCTGCATGATGTTTTTTGTCCAAATCACAGATCAGATAGAACAGTGGAAATCGACCCTGGCATTAAAACATGTTGCAGAACAAAGTAAAGAAAGAACAGATTTTTTTCTAGATACTTTTGGTGGAGGAAGTGTAATGAACTAATACCAGTCACAGGGTTGATGGGAACACTGATGAGAAGAATTTTCAAACAGTATGCTGTTCTTTGCTGTACTGTATTTTAAATGCATTTGTATTTTTCCATCGTTTCAATGTTAGATCAAGAGAACTCCATACCTCCGCCTGTGCTTGAGATCTTGAGAGTCCTCACCACTGTTCTGTCTGTGCCTGCATAAAATAAAATATAATGTTGAATGTGTACACAAAAATGCCTACCACGTGTACTGTATTAAAGCTATACTTGCAATCTGGCATTTCCAAGTTGTGTCCGAGAGTATTGTGGGAGCCCATAAATCTGATCAAACTCATTTATTTAATAATATAATACATTTTAACAATCTGTATTAAATTTTTATATGTAATAGGTAAATCGCACTAGTTCTATTTAGATATTAATACTATCATATCACACTTTTCTGAAGAATAGAACATTTTCTATAAAATCACTTAAATCTGATCGTGTGGGAGGTGAGTATAACACATGGCTGTGCTTTGGAATGGTGGATAGGATAAGTCCAGTCCAAATAAGTTATTAAAACAGAGCACTCTATCTCACTGCTATGTATGGCATGTTGCCCTTCCTGTTAATTCATAGTGTATAATTCTGTAAGCTATATCAGGACACAGTTCAGAAATAAAACAACAAACATCGCGTCACACCAATCACGAGCTGGATATTTTATCTATAAAATATGTGACTAATAAAATAATATTAGCTAGAGAGTTCTTCCTTCACCACAAAGCACATATTCTATCTCTTGCTTGCTCTAATCCATAAATTATATACAAACCAGTTAAATTCACTTGTAAATCTCTACCCTTCACTTGTTAATCTCTACTTTAGTTAGAACTAGTATCACTTCCCAGGCATGGGACAAAAACTCTCTTATTATAATGTGATTAGTTACTACTAAACTGCAGAGTTGCATTACACGTTCATCCTACAACACAGCAGATGAAAAGTCCACTTTAAATTACTTACCTCCTGGTATGCTGCCCTGAGTCATTGTCACTTCCAGACTGATTGCGCCTCCGCGGGCTGGGAAACTTTGGTGATTTGGTGCGGTCACTGGGAGAATTGTACAAGCCACTAAAAAGGAATATGGAAATAAGAAAGGTAATGAGAGGTTCATTTTCTGACTGTCCTAAGTATGCAAATCACGTTGGTACAGATATAATGGCACACTGCCTACCATGTAATTGGATCTTTATAATAGTATTCTGTAAAATTGACATATCTGACCCTTGAAATTGAAGGCTCAGAGAAAATACCTCTAAAAACAAAGCGTTTTACTAAGTTAAAGCCCCTATTCAGCCAGGCTTAGCAGAGAGACAAGACCTGCATGTAACTCTGCTGATCATACAGCTTACTTCCAAACATACAACAAAACAAGGCATCTCAACAATAGCATTCAGTATAAACAGCACTCTGTAAGTGACTTCAATGTCATAATATGACATAACAGCAACTGCAAATGCAACAGCACCCAAGGATACCACCTGCCAAGATTTTAGAGAGAAGAGTTCATGCACTGGCAGAAAATGAGGAATGCTTTCCCTTACCACAAATAATGTTGTTTTTTTTATACCATTCTAAGGTAGATATACTGTATATGATGTTCCTCATTTGTTGTTGTTTATTTCAGGAAAAATAGTCCCTGGAATTCATAAAGAGCCTCAATAGTGTCCGTGCGCCAAATGGCACAACTTGTGTCAGATCCATGTAACAGCTGGTAAGGTGTATATGAATCTGTTGCAGAATTGCCTCAGACAAAAATTTTGTCTGCGACATAATACTTACACATATGGCACAATTTAATTCAACATGGAAGAGTTCTTATTAACCTCCACTTTTTCTTATCACCAATATGAATTTGCCGCAGACAGTGTCAGCATGTAAAAGCGTTGCTCATAAAAACTACCTGAATTTGTCACACGTGTAGGAAATAGCAAGACAACTTTCGCATGGCTTTCACAAATCAGGCGCAGGACTCTCTAATATGACTATAATGCCAGCAAAGTGTTGCAAATGCTTTATTGAATCACCCGCAGTATGTTTATGCAGCCAGTTCATAAATCAGTGTGATGATATCATCGCCACAAAGCATCAATAGCCAAATCCCAGTTATAGTACAATCTGCAGAATAAATGAACAGGTCATATTTACCATA